TCACTCTTTCATCTATTGTTCTAACACACAGTTAGTAGGACTGGGTGTCATAAACAGTATATAACAGCTGAAATAATATCTGATTAAATAAGATATTTACCCCCCCCCCAACCGGGGAGGGCAATAAACATCTTAGAGTATCAGAAATATAAAATCCCAGCTGGCTGGGAATTGAATATAACACTGGAGAGGAAAACTTGAAGGGGCAGAAATACCAAAAGCAACAGTTGGTTACATTTAAAAATATATTTTTTATTTGTTATTTGCTCATTAAAACATAAATGTCCAAAATGAGAGCAAATGGAAACCAAAGTCAACGTCCTGCAAAGCTGATCAAACCTCCAACTCTCTGTTATTCTTTGGTTTGACCACCAGGTGGCGACAGAAACACAGAGATGAGGACGCTTATCACAGAGTATACCACAACAGTTTACATTTAATGTTCTAAAAACAACGAAATCATAAAACTTAAAAACAAAAAAACAAACTTTATCTGAATAATTGCTGGAAGTCAATCAAAGTTCCAGGAAAGTGAAAATGATCCTTGGTGCCGAGCTGGTCGTCCATCTTCTCCCACCAATCATCCCAGCAGCAGCAGCAGCCTGGATCCGTCTGGATTCCCTTAAATAAACGGCTTCCTCCTCTCTGATCCTCTTCTGGCTGGAATTCAAATGTTGATTAGCTTCCTTTATTAAGCCTTCGCTAACAAACAGCTTCTCAAAGTTCTGCTAAATGAAACATCTGATGCTTGATGCTGACGGGTTCCTCCTGAACTGGACCTCCAAGGAGAAGCGGCTCCACCTGCAGCTCAGACATCTTTACTCCTGCAGGTATCAGCGGCTCCTATCTCTGAGCGAGGAGAAGTCCCAGTGTGATGAAAGCTGCTCCCAGTACAACCATCCCAAAGACGGTTCTCAGGCTCCAGAAGGTGTCTGGAGGTCTGCACTCATACATCTCCACGAAGGCCTCCTGGAAAACAAGACAGTGAATGATTAGATGGATGAACGCCATCATAAGAGTTCCTGCAGCGGCTCCATCCGGTCTGCATGAAGCTAAAAACTCTAAAGCTCAAACTCTGCTCAGACGTTTCTGGTGCTTCTGGTTTTTATGGAGCTTTGATTCAATTGGTTTCAGTTTATTTTTATGGTCCAATTTAAATTAATTCATCTTAGTTCACTTTATACAGTACATAATAGTTTTCTATTCAAGAAAAACGATCCAGGATGAGCAGGTAGAGACGGGAGATTTGGACATTTAGAGTTGGAACAGATGTTTTTCCTTTGGTTATTCAGGACTGTCTCTTTAGTTATTCCAAATAATTAAAAAAGTTAAAATCAATCCACTGGA